AAGCCATCTCCTCCAGCACATAATGGTGGCAGGCAGTCATTTCTCTCTTCCGTCCTTGGTTCCCCAGACACTGGTGTCACCAACAAGGAAGGATGGACACACATCCTCCCGTAAGTCTCCTTTCCTCTGATGCCCATTCCTGTTAGTTCAAATCCTGCTGCAGCTAACATCTTGATAAAAAACCAAAATATCACCCAGGGTCAGCCACTGGCCCCTTATTTCCAGCAGTAGCCACCTCACTGGAACTGTAGTTCAGCCAAAGGATTGAGACAGGCTCTTCTAGCTCATCCCCCACAGCCGGCCTGCCCTTCACTCCATAAAGGAGTTTGCTGTCTGCCTCTCAGCTCTGTGAGTTCTTGGGGTCTGGGAGACCAGGAAGTTGTGGGACCCTTTCTACCATTTTTAACAGCTCAAGATGGTTGCGTGCTAACTTGGATACAACTCGCCTTCAGCCCCAGGATTGTAGCAGTGGCCTTTGTTTTGACATCCATGGACCATCCTCTTCCCAGGGGTGGAGGAGAAAGCACGCCTTAGCTCTGCAGTGCTTTGCCTCGTCTGAGGTCAGTTTGCTTTAACAAAGGACCAGGTCAAGGACCACAGCATCGTGGAGGAGTAGGCAGTGGTGTCCCTCAGCACCACCAAGAACAGCAGGCCATCTATCATGATAGCTTGTCCCAGCACAGTTCTCCCTCTACGTGGGTCCACGAATCAGGCCTCCAGACTCCAGAAACGGAACACCTCATTGCCACCTGCCCTTCATCTCTGGGATGCTTATAGCATAAAAGGCCACCTGCTGTGTCAGTCACTGAGGGAGTTTCATCACCACCCTGCTTGATATTTGGATTGACTCTTGAAAAGGGTACCCCATGCCTTCCAGGCAAAGAGAAAGGGCAGTCCAGTGAGAAATGATACGTCTCCAGGACTCCAGGGGAGAACTTATTTAGGCCACCAGATGTGTCACCTTGGCAAGATATGTCACTTGCAGTTTGCCCTTTTCTCTCCTTTTAAGAAAGCCCCAGAGAACAACTTCGAGGCACGTTTTCCACTTTGACGCTGAACCTCCTCTGACTTAGGAGGCACCTGCTTGTGAACAGAGGCACCTGCTGCCCCCTGGACTTGGTCTAGACTCCTTGGAAAGTGGACATTAGAGAGATGTCAGGGATATAGCATATACTTTCAGGGGTCACAGGTTCACAGAAAGGCTTGAAGTGAAGCTGAGCTGAGAAGGGATGCCCTGTGAGGTGATCTGAGTGTTGTCACCACGGTGGGTGCGCTTGAAGAGACGAGAGGAGGCGGTGCCTGGAGCAGGGCGGGCAGCCTCCTGCCCTGCCGAGCAGTGTTGCCCTTGGGAGTGGTACCGCACCTCCACCTCTGAGGTGTATGTGAAAGAGGGAGGGCTCCTCACGACGCTTTGGACAGAACCAGGAGGGTAAGGCTCAGGCTGTCCCCTGGAGGCGATAGGTGGTGGGCTGTGGGCCCTGCCAGCTCCGCCTCAGCTCGTGTGGGAGACCCGGGGGGGCCTCACCTCTCTTCCTTCACTGTGGCTAAAGTTCGCTAGGCCAGTTATGGTGAACCAATGATAGATACAGTGTTTCTCCTCCTCACGTTTCCCTCCTGGCTTCCCCTTTTCAGGGTTTCCGCGGTGGGGAGGTTGGTTGTTTTCTTGCCTCGTTTTGGTTTGAAGATCGTGGTCAGTAGAGCTCTGGCTTTCACAGAAGAGCCCTGTGGTTTCCATGGGAAGAGATGGCTGCCCCACTTTCAGGGAGGAGAGGATGGCTAGGTCGTGATTGATAGACTCATGTCCCACCACCACCCCAGGTGGTGCTTTAAAGATGCAACCCTATAGAAGAGGGTGTGCTAGGTCTGCAGTTGGCCATTGGTTATCATGGCCCATGAGGATGCAAGCAGGTGAGACCACATCCCACTGGACACCTTGACCCTTCGAACCAAAGTTGCTTAAAGGGGCATGGCCCAGCCTTGTTTGTGACCTCAGGGGCGGGGGATTCTGTGGCACTTCCTGAAACGCAGGTTGGCTGGGACATCTGGGTCTGAAACCAGCCAGAAGGAGGGTCTCCTCCCACAACACAGGAGCCAGCCAAGGATCTTCCTACCTGCCCAGCCAGGTGGGGAGGTTCCCAAGCAGTGAGCTTGGGGACCAGTCTGAGACTGGAACTCACCAGCCTGGAGAGAGAACTAGGGGCTTTCAGACCACAGGCAGGGCAAGGCTGATCCCAAACATCAGGAACCCATTTTGTACACCCGAAAAGAAGCAGAGATATTTTTTAAGAAGCTTAAATTATTTTCAGTTTTCTGATCCTACCGTTTTCTTTCCCTGCAGGTTCATGTCAGTGATTTGTTCACATCAGGTAAATCTTGAGACAGCCTTGGTGCCCCCCCCCCAACTCCCACTCAGTAACCACACACGTGCACCCCCATCCTTTCTCAGTAGTTAGGACATTCTAGGCAATACCATAGACACATGTGTGTCTCTCCGAGTGCAAGAAACTCAAAATCATCTTTAAAAAATACAAAAAAAAAAAAAAAAAAAACAAACACAAAAAAAATATCTTTTTTAGGCCAGAGTTTTCTACAGGTATTAATGAATATTTTTCTTAATCCTTATAAGTTTTATGTGTTTAATATTTCTTAATACCGGTAGCATTAATTTATACTTTTGTAGCAACACAATATTTTTATAAACAGCCAGTGGTTGGCTAAAGTCTTCACGAGGGGTTTATGCAGGGCCATCTTGGGGTCCCTGTGTACCATGTACTGTATTTAAAAAAAAAAATTCCCTAGTGTCACACTTGCTGTGTTAATTAACAAATGGCGTCATTTGCAGTCTCCTGTATCATTGGTGTGGAGCCAGTGGCTCTCCAAGGAGTCCGATTGCATGGGGGTTGACTTGACGGTGCTTGTGACATGTAAGCCCCCGAGACCAAACTTGAGGGTTTATTTAGGATTTTCTGTTTGTCCTTTGGGTTTTTTGTTTGTTTGTTTGTTTCTCTTTGTTTTGGTACCGTTTCTCCATTTACAGCCAAATCAGTTTCATGATGTTTGAAACTTTTACTGATGTCAAATGGAGGAAAGAAACAGGAAAAAAAAAAAAAAAAGATTTTTACAAAGTAATAAAAATGGAAACTGAGCTGTTTAAATGTTGCTGTTTTTACTGTTTGTTCTTGTCAGAAAGTGGGACATTCCCAGTGAGAAGAGGAAAGTTCCACTTGTTCCTTTAAGTCGCCAAAAGCCCTAGCCCAAAATTCAGTACCCTACCCTCCAGATTCTTGCAACATTATTTCCCAGTTGGTTGATGCCAAGGCAAAAAGCATCCTTTTAACAGTTAGAGGATCAGTTGCTTAAATGATTTCATGTCAGTGTTGTATTTATGGTTTTACAATAAAACAACCTTTAGGAAGATGGCAGTGTGTGGTGTGTTTCTTGGGTTTAGGGCAGGGCCATCACTTCCAGGTGGGAACACCATACCTATAGGGGCATGGGTGAGGGAAGGTGGACCAGAAGCAGGTACCCAGGGTGGCTCTGAGTGCAGCCCAAGGTTGTGTGAGGTCAAGGTGTTGACTCAGCTGTGAGCTCCAATATGACGGGAGAAGTTCATTGTTCATCTCCAGCACCTGGCCCAGCTCAGCCGGTGTTTGAAAGATGATGGAGGGTTACAGGGCTGAGGGACATGGTGGCCCCTTGCAGATGGAGGGATACAGGGTTGAGGGACATGGTGGCCCCTTGCAGATGGAGGGATACAGGGTTGAGGGACATGGTGGCCGCTTGCAGGTCTTTGTATGATCTGTAGATCATTGTCCCAAAGAAGGAGGAATGGATTTACTCTCAAGTCATACAGGCCCAATGCCCAGGGGTCATTCATGTGCCACTTGTGCCCCTTGGTGGCTTTGGTCTCGTATAAGATGTGTGGCATGTATGTATTGTACATAATGTCCGTTTTGTGGGAAGAGCATCAGTGGCTTATGCTAGTTACCTGATGACATCCCTGACTCAAAAGAGTTAAGAGCTGGAGCTCTAGAAACATTTCAGCTCAGTGTCTGGGCTCGCTGTCTCCAGAGCTGCCTGGGGACACAAAGGGAGGGGAAGAACAGCTCTCCAACATGAAAAGGTTCAGGCAGGGCCCACTCGGCAGTGGGGAGGGCAACTGGTAAACCAGCCAAGGGGCTGGTCCGAGTTGCTCCGGTGTCTAAATTGGAGATTCCTGGAGTGTGCCTGTGAACCACCTCAGTGCCTGAGCCCTCTGGACAGCCTCCCCTACTCCCTCCAGTGAAGAAGCCACGCCACACCCCGGCTGCTGAGGGGTCCAGGCTCAGCGGGTTTCTGCGGGATGTGCTGTGAACTCGTGCTTCCAGGAGAAGGGCCAGTGCGAAGACTCCAGGAGACAAGAAAGCAGCATGCTGTGTGGAGAAGCAGCCTGGCACGTCACAACTCCTGGCGGCTGGGACTTGGGGACGTAGCTTGAACATAGCCCAAGTGAAATGCTGGAGGAGGGTTCAGGGCAGCAGAGGACCAGGAATTATTTCATCCCAAGTATGGTCCCTTCCCCCTGAGCTCCTGGCCACACTAGGTCACAGTTGCTTCTTGTGACCCTGGGTTGCTGTAGCCGCATCAAACCTCTCCCAGAGACCAGTACCTAGAGTTCTTTCCAGCTTTATAAAACAACAATCCCATTTTATACTATTGTGGGGTGAACAGAACTGTGTCATAATTCACATAGTCACACAGACTGAAGATAGTTCTATGATTGCAGCACGTGCATTTTTCACTTCTGGGAAACTGGGGATTTCTTAAGTCCGTTCCCTCCACCCTGGCTTTCCCCTTCTTCACCCTCACGTCATCACAACTATGATGACAATGAAGAATTGGGACGTGGAATCTCACGACTTTGTCATTATTTTTTTATTGGAACCCAGGTTTCAGGCCAGCCTGCCCCGCCAGGCAGAGATGGACACCGGCCACAGCCGCTCTTCACCCTCCAGCCGGCATCAGTGTTTGAATCGCAGTAGCTCCTCATCTGTGGACACAGGGAGGCTCGGAGTAGGGGTGAGGCTCACCCTAGGGCTCATGGCTGGGACACTCTGGAAAAGGGATGCCTTGGGGAGGGAGGCAGGCAACTTGGGCAAGCAAGGACCTGAGGCTGGACCCAGAAAGTCTGGCTTGCTGAAGGATTTGGTATCCCTAAAGGAATTCCCTCTTCTGGTTTAGCTGTGGTGTCATTTCCCAGTGGGAAGAATCAAGGCACAGAAAGCCTACACCGCAGCGATTCTCTTGCATGCCATCACTCTTAGGACCGTCTTAGTATTCATAGCAGCTGCCATGAACTGAGTGCTAACTACGTGCTGGGCCCTGTGAAATCTGAGAAGCGGGTAATTAGTCCCATTTTACAAAAGACACCAGGCTCACGCTGGCATGTGTCCAGACTTCAGGTGTGACAGTACCCGATGTAGAGCCCAGCTCTGCCCAGCTCCTCAGCCTGCCTTGCACACCCTCTGGCCATCTGCCCAATGAGAGCTGCGGTAAGACCCCAGGATTGGCCCCACTTCACAGATGTGAAGCCTAAAGTATGGATGGGCTGGCTGGTCACCTGCAGAGTCCAAAACTCAGCTCTGCACACGCCCACCCTCTACCAGGACCCTCCCACCCAGCCCCCAGGAGCCCCTTGGTGCAGCCTGGCACCCTGCAGGGCCTCCTACCTTCTCCAGGAGCACCACAGTACTCTTTGCACTCCTTCTCAGAGTAGAACTTGTTCCCGTTGCCCTGGCAGCCCCCATAGGTGAAGAGGACGCACTTCCCCTGGACAGCATCAAATGCCCAGAGCTGGGTGGCGCCTCTGCAGGGGCCGCTGACTATGGGGAGATTGCAGGCTGCTGCAGGCGGGAGGCAGACACAGTGTTAGTAATCCTTGAGACTGCTGACCAGGAACACGTGGCAAGGGGCTGTGCCTGCTCCTCTGGAATACCTCGCCCGTCTTTTACAAATTGGGAAACGGGGGGCCACAGAGAGGAACTGACTTGCCCAGGGTCACCCATAACAAATGTGGCATTCCTATGGTTTCAGGAAACATGCCTTGGAACGCCACCATTAACACACCCTCTCTTAGCTACCTGTTAAGTTGGTGGGGTGGTTTGTTGGGGAGGGTGCAGAGTATGCAGAGGTGGGGTGAAGGGTCCCACACTCACCCACAGTTCTGCAGGTCTGCAGACACTCCTTCTCTGAACCAAAGTTGTTGCCGTTGCCCAAGCAGCCACCATATTGAAAGGTCTCACAGGCCATGGATGAGCCATTATAGAAGTACTTCCTGATCATCCCCAGGCAGGGACCCGCCACAGGGTCCAGCTGGCAGGAATCTGCAGAAGGGTAGAGCATCAACAGACCCTGAGTGCTTGCTGTGCACTGGCCACCAGGCTGGCCATGAACATGCATCATCTCATACCATGTCTGTTGGGCTCCAAAACCCATGCTCATTCCACTTTGTGACATGGGCACCCATGTTCCCAGCAACCCCCAATCCCACTGTCCCCTGTGCTGGTCTTGTCTGCCCCAAGAATCTGTAATAATAGTAGTGGAGGTTGCATTCACTAGCCCCCATGTTGGCTGGCTTGGCCTTTTCACCTCTGTGCCCTGCCCCTGGAATACCACCTCAAATCAAACATAACCTGTATATCTAGACACAGCATGACATCCCCTCCATCCATGACATGCTCCTTAATCCCCTCACCCCTCCGTCCTCTGAGTTCCCTCAGTCCTTTAGCTAACCTTCCTTTCTGGACATGTCACTTTCTTCCTTGGCTCCCTCCCCAACTAGATAGTCCAGAAATTTCGGGAGGGCATAGATGGTTTGTCTCCATGACCCCAGTGCCCAGCACAGGGCATGGGGCAGAGCAAGGTTCAGTGTTTACTGAGAAAGTTGGAAAATGAGTTGATGGTGAACATTTTCAACTACACAAAGCATCCTCACATCCATTCCCTATGGTCCAGAGAGTCCTGATGGTCAGCACAGTAGGCTGTTCTCTCATTGTCCTGATAAAGAAACCAAGGCCGAGGCCACAGGGACACAGGTAGGGCAAGAACTCGTTGCTCATGGAGCTGAGAGTGCCTAAGTTCAGGGACGATGTCTTGTGTCCCCATGACACAGCCCTGGCCAGTGCAGAGTAAGGATTCCTAGACATGATTTGCTTTTTCTAGACCCAGTCCTTGACTCCCTAGTGAGAGATAAGAATGGGACTTCATGATGGTGAGGGAAGCCAGGGTGAGCCAACTGTGGGCCCTTCTCTAAAGTACAGCAGAAGGAAGTGAGCAGGCCATGATCGTTACCTTCTTTCTTGAAATCGATGATTCGTTGCCCAGCCCCTGACCCTTCATCTTCTTGGGGTAGCACAGCCCGCCGGGCTCTCTGGGGGGAAGAAAGAGAAGAAGCTGTTGTAGGGACCTTGCTACCACTGTTGTTCACCTATACCTGGGGGATAAGGAGTCCCTGAGCAGTGCCACTGGTTAAGTGCCCAATGACTAACTGAAAGGTTGGCAGTTCGAACCCACTCAGAGACACCTCGGGAGACAGGCCTGGTACTATGCTTCCAAAAGGTTACATCCTTGAAAACTACTCTGTACACATCAGGTCACCATGAATCAGAATTGACTCATCAGCAACTGACAATAATAACAACTGTCAGAATCTACAAACAAGCCACATTTGCTTTATCCAGACATAAACAGAAGCACCACCATAGACTAGCTCATGAACATCTGTCTGAATTTCAGGATGAGCCATTGCAGGGCAGATTCTGGTCTGAAAAGATAATCACAACCCAGAGGTTTAATAATACCCTATCCCCATCTTCAGTTGAAATGCCCATAGAATATAATAATGGAGAAGACTCTATCCCTGAGTCAGAACTGCAGGAAGGACAGTATTCCCAGCTAGAAACCTGAAGGGATTTCTGCACAGCAGAGGACAGGTGCAAGTTGCTTTGCAGGAGAGACCAACCCGACCGTCTTCCCTGCTTCCAAAGGAAAAGCCATCTGGGAGTAAGGCAAAGGGACCCCGAGATTGCCCCCTCACACCCTAATTGTGGTGAGGGGATCTGCAGAGCAGGGGCTGCCAGTGCTGCCAAGGAGTCTGGGTGTGGAGTCCCCCAAGGCAGGAGCCCAGGGCAGCCCCCTCCTGGCCTTATCTCTGGGGTGATGTGCTGGGTGTAGTGGTGGTATGTACGGCTGAGGCGGGCCCCTAAGGAAGGAAGTTGTGCCACTTCAAGAAGGGATGAGCAGTGAAACTCCCAACCGCCAGGCAGATCTCTGCCCACAGGAACCTGGTAAGAGTTATAGTAACCTTAAACAGCCCTGGTGGCACAGTGGTCAAGCACTCGGCTGCTAACCACCAGCAGCTTCGTGGAAGAAAAGACCTAGCGATCTAGGAAGCTCTATGGGCCAGCTCTACTCTGTCACAGAGGATTGCTATGAGTCAGAAGCTACCCGATGGCATTCAAAACAACAAAGTAACCTTAAATGTCCCCCTTTTCCTTTTAAATTGCACTGAAAACAGTGGTCAAGGCCTCCCACTCTTAGCCCAGAACCCATTTCCAGTTTTTCCTAAGTGTTACAGACTGAATTTTGTGCCCCAAAAAATACATGTTGGAGACCTGACCCCTATGCCTATTTGGGAATAAGGTTCTTTGTTACGTTAATGAGGGCATGTAGTATAGGTTTTTCCTCAATCTAATAACTTCTAAGTGATATAAACAGAAGCATAGACACGGAGATGCATGAACATAAACTAGGGAAGACAAACACTTGTGAACATCACCAAGAACCTGAGGAACATCAGGTTACAGAAGCTGAGACAAGGATTCTCGCCCAGGGTCAACAGAAAGAGAGTCTTCTCCTACAGCCAATGCCCTGAATTTGGACCTCCAGCTTCCTAAGCTGAGAGAAAATAAATTTCTGTTCTTCCACCTGCCCACTTGTGTTATTTCTGTTACCGCAGCACGAGGAAACTAAGACACTTTGTGAGGACGAACAGAGAAGAATCATGGGACTGATTAAATAATGGAGCCACTTAGAAGAATTGGATTGAGCCGATATCCCTACAAAACACTTGAGTGATGACAACAAACAGGAGAAAACTTAATCATCACTGTAATTTAAGATGATACTGCATAGTATCACTGGAGCCAACAGTGATGGAAATGGATAAAATGAGAAAAGTGGAAAGTCATTGGAGATGGAAAAGATGTTGACTCGAACCATGTAGTGGAGCAAATGCGCTGCAGTTTAGATACTGCAGGAAATAAATCCACACAGTAGGAGTTCCCAAGGGAGAGTCAATCAGTATGGAAATAATAGAAGAAAAGCTTTCTGAGTTGAAGAAATAACTTGAATTGTCCAATTATGAGAGTTCTCGGGGAATCAAGCAAAATTAATAAAGCACCCCACCTAGACATTTCCTGGGGATAAAGGAGGAAGAACCTGGTGGCCATCAGATTAAATGAAAATATTTGATGACAGAGGCCCTAGAACAGTATCTAAGGGTTGTAAGAAGGAAAAGGTTGTGACACAGTGTGTCTTCACTCATTCTTAGAAAGATAGTTTCAGGCGTGCAAGGATCCAGTGCCTGCCACCTGTGTAACTTTCCTGAAAAAATTACGTGTAGAAACATTCTCACCAATTGAGAAGGGGATCTAAATACACAATAATGGAAGATGTGATAGCTATAAATTATAGCAAGTTATAAAGACAAGAAAATAAAGAATTTTAAAAATTGCTAAAGTTGTTATGCAATTTCATGCAAACATTAAAAAGAATTCTCAAAAGAAAAGGTGGAAAATGTAAACATTAGTCTCAGATCAGATCCACAAAAGCAGGGATGCAGGAAACCGGAAAGGAGGAAGCTGAAGTGTGCAGGATTTCTGTCTTTTGCAAGGCGGGTAATTACTGTTTCATTCTTGGCATTGATAAAGAAGCACAGGTTTAATCATAATGATAATAGAACCAGTAAAGAACAGATGCTGGTGAGGCTGTAGGGAGATTGGAACTCTTTTTTACACAGAGCCGGTGGGACTGTAAAATGGTAAACCACTATGGAAATGATACAGCACTTCCTTAAAAAGCTAGAAATAAAAATACCATATGATCCAGCTAGCCCTATATACTCCTCTGTATAGATCCTAGAGAAATAAGAGCAGTGACTGGAGTAGATATATGCAGACCCATGTTCACTGGTCCACTATTCACAATAGCAAAAAGATGGGAACAACCGAAGTGTCCATCAAAGCTGAATAGATAAACAAATTGTGGTACATACATACACTGGAATACTAGGCAGTGATAAAGAATAATGATGCATCTGCAAAACATCCCACAGCACACAAGACTCTGGAGGACAGAATGCTGAGTGAAATAATTCAATCACAAAGGGGCAAATATTGCATGAGACCACTATTACAAAAAGCTAGGAATAGGTTAACACAGAGAAAGAAACATTCTTTGATGGTTACCAGGAGTGGGAGGGGAGGGGAAAATATGAACCAGATAGTAGACATGTGTTAATTCTGCTGCAGGCAGAGCAAATGCACAATATGGGGTAGGTCAGCACAATGTGATCGAGGCAAAGGAAGACACTGAGAGGCATCCAAGAACAAGGGACAACTATGGTAAACACTGTAACTGTGCAATCCTGCAATAACAGTAACAACAAACAATAATTTGTGAGTGGGTTTATGTTAAATAGCTGTGGGAGGTCATACAGGACTACACTCATGTACATGTATAGGTGTGGATGTGCATTTGTCTATATGCATATTTGTATTGCTGCATTATGTTCATATATATATAATAGAGCACATAGGGACACAGCTATGGAAACTTAGACATAATTAAATACCTCATAGGACTGAGCTATAGGGCTTGAAGTCTAAGGACCATAGTCTGTGGGGACATCTAGATCTGGTGGCATAGTGCCTAAGGTACTTGACTGCTAACCAGAAGGCTGGCGGTTCAAATCCACCAGCCACTCCTCGGAAGGAAGACTGGGCAATCTACTTCTGTAGAGATACTGCCTCGGAAACCCAAGGGGAGGTCACTATGAGTCAGATCTGACTCGATGGCAGTGAGTTTGGCTTTTGGGGGGTTTTTTGAGTGCATAAAGACAATGTTCTACATTCTAGTTTGGTGAGTAGCATCTGGGGTCTTAAAAGCTGGCGAGTGGCCATCTAAGATACAACCACTGATCTCTTCGCACCCAGAGCAAAGGAGAGTGAAGAAAACCAAAGATTCAAGGAAGCAATTAGCCAAGAGGACCAATGAGCTACATGAACCACAACCTCCTCCAGCCTGAACCAGAACTAGATGGTGCCTGGCTACCATAACTGACTGCTCTGACCAGGGACACAGTAGAAGGTCCCGGTTAGAATGGGACAAAAATGTAAAACAAAACTCAAATTCATTGGGACAAAAAAAAGGGCCAGACTTACTGGTGTGATAGATAGACACTGAAGGAACCTCTGAGTCTATTGCCCTAAGTCACCCTTCTAACATGGAACTGAAGCCACTCCCAGAGCCTGCCTCTCAACCAAAAAATAGACTGGCCTGTAAAATAAACAATAACACCCATGAGGAATGTGCTCCTTAGAACAATCAACCATACAGACCAAAAGGGCAACATTTGCCCAAAAAACAAAGATAAGAAGGCAGGAAGTGGCAGGGAAACTGGATGAACGGAAATGAGGACCCAGAGTGAAAACAGGGAGAGCCCTATCACATTGCAGAGATTACAGCCGATGTCACAGAACAATTTGTGTGAATCATTGAGTGGGAAACTAATTTGCTGTGTCAACTCACTAAAGCACAATAAAATGCTAAAAAAACAAAACAAAACAAAGAAATAGATTAGGTGACATCTGGATTTGAGATGGAAGACTGAAAAGTCCCTCAAAAATTCTCCCCGATACCTAACAATTAACAAAAAATTATTTTAGAAAACACCCCCCCATATTTTTATCAACGTAACTCAAATAAGGAGTTGTCATTGTTATGTGCCATCAAGTGGAACCCAACTCATAGTGACTCCTCTTTGGTGTCCAAGGCGGTATCAATGCGGAAGTAGATTGCCCAACCTTCCTTCTGAGGAGTGGCTGGTGGGTTTGAACTGCCAGCCTTCTGGTTAGCAGTCAAGTGCCTTAGACACTATGCCACCAGAGTGCCCAAATAAGGAGAGGGACATAATTTAAAGCAACAGTTTTAACCCTGACAAACAAGGAAAGAAACAAAAAATTCTGGAGCTGAGAGAAGGGTTCAGCAAGTTTCAGCTCCTAACCACGCCCTCCAGTCCCTCATACTGGCAAGTCATACAGTTTAAGATAGTTCTTTCTAATACTTCCAAATGCAAAGAGAAGAAAATTGAGGGGCATCCTGTCTTTTTCCTTTTCTGACAGAGGACAAGTGAAAACGGCTTCTTGGAGCAAAGGGGAAATGGAGAGACTGGATTAGAGGCTGACTCTCACTAATGGAAGGAAAAGCCTTGGGTTGTATAATCTAAAGCTTAAGGGTATGTTTTCATGAGACGGCTGGACATTATCTCCAGCCCCAACCAAATGGAATGAACCCTACAGAGGTTTCTTAGCCGCTCTTTGGAAGAGAAGCAGAGCAAAGCTATTCCAACCAAGAATGGCCAAAAAAGCAGAAGCCAACAGGAGAGGAGTTGAGAAGTTTGAGAAGCTGCTTGCTCTTGGGTTTTCTAGTTTTTAGGGACATCTATTGACTTTATTTTCAGTTACTGAGTACTTTATTTCTCTTAGACCTCATGCTGTGAGTTTTCTAACATCTCATTGAATTCTAGCACAACCCTGGAAGGGGAGTGTAATTGCCCCATTTCACAGATGAGGAAAGTGAAGTCAAGGTAGGGCAGCAACTTCCCTACATGGCAAAACCAAGGTTGAGTCCAGGGGAGTAATGATACGTGCCCATCTCTGCCTTTTCTCAGGCTCCTTCACTGACTCCACCCACCACCAGAGTCAGACCTAAGCAAGGGCAGCAAAAACCAAGTGTGCACAGGGTCTGGGTGAGGGAATGATGTACTCACCAGGGCCGGGGTAGGTTCTGGTTCCTGTTCTCCAGGGACACACTCACCTAGGTCATGGGGACAGGATAGGAGAGGGAGGTAAGTAAGAGGACCAGACGTGGGGGGAAATCTTGGACTCAGAGAAGGCTTTGTTTCATTTAGGGTGCCAGGTGGGAATTTTGCTTGGGACTGTCTAGCCCACTTCATGACTGGCTCCACTCCATAGTCTTGTTCAAGGTCATTTACTGGAAAAGCAACAGTTTGGTAGCTACACCACCATCACCATCTGCATCATCTCCACCTCCCCCCACCCCATGACATCAATAACATCAGGAGAACAGCAAGAATTAAAATAAATTGAGCACTTCCTAAGCACCAGGCCAAATACTATTGTATTTAATGTCTTTATCTCATTGACTCCTCATAGCAACCTAGAAGACAGCCATTATTAACCCCATCTTATAGATGAGGAGAATGAAGTTCTAAGAGGTTGATTAGCTCAAACCAGCTAATTTAAATTCTGGTCCTCTGACTCTAAAGACCATGCTTGCAACCCCAACACTTTGTTGCCTGATAAGATGTACCTATGGATTCTAGATATAACCTGACTTAGACATGTAGCAGTAGAATGAACACTGACTTGGTTCTAGTCCCTGCTGTGCCAGGTACACACTGTGTGACTTCAGGCAAATCCAGGGGCCCCAGCTCTCTTCTCTGTAAAGAAGCTGGGGAGGGACTGCCATGGGTTGGGAAGAAGCTCCCTGGGGGCCAGTGAAGGATGAGGAGGGGCAGGAATGGGAGGTAAGTGGAGGTGCTATTTACCTCGGTCTGCCAATGTGAAGATAGAGTCCTCTGGGATGCCCATCCCCAGGGCAAATTCCCTGAACTCCTCCAGGAGGCTCTCCCGCAGCTGTGGCTGCCGCCCTGCAAGTGGGGAGCAGAGGAGACACCTAGGAGTAACCTAAGTGCCTGGGCTGGCAGGGCATGAAGAGGTTATCTCACCCAATGGCTTTCATGCAGGGGTGGTTTGAAAACTCTTGACCCAGTTCAAACTCCTTGATATATGTATGGAAAGATAGGGGAAGAGGTGTCCCTCCCCACGCTCCTAACTCCACACAGTGCTCTTCCCACTGGTTCTTTTAACGGCCTCTAGCAACTCCTCGGAAGGAAGATGGGGCAATCTACTTCTGTAGTGATACTGCCTCAGAAACCCAAGGAGGGGTCGCTATGAGTCGAGTCCGACTCGACGGCACATAACAACAACAACAACAACAGCTGAGGGTTGGGGATTTTAGAGAACCAAAGAGAAGGACTCTACCTCGAGTGGGAGGCAGAGCTCTACACTCCTCTTCCATCTTTCACCTAATTTTAGTTTTGTCTGAAGGAAAAAGCAAAGCTCTCTGCTTTTCCCCACTCCACTGTCCAGAAGCCAAGGGTCTCCTCCAACCCCCAATTCCAGTGGGCTCATCTAGTTATAGGTCTTTACCATAGAGCTTAGCAGTAATGGTGGGTCCATGGCGGCTGAATTTCTTGGTCAGAAAAATGGCATATTCATCATAGTTGGTGTGGGCCACATAGGATTCCATAGTCACATTCCATTCTGCATGGGATATGTAGGCAGACCAAAGGGATCAGTGGTTAGAAGACCCTTCTTCTAGCCTGAGCTCCTTCATCTACTCACCCACACATCCATTCACCCATCCACCCATCTGCCCACGCATCCCTTTCACACATTATTTTTCAATTCATCCATCTTCAGTCTTGCTTTCTCTACCCATCCAGCTCCTTCATCCATTCATTTTAATTCACCCACCACCATTCCATCTATCCATCCTCTCCAGGCCTCAATCCATAAATTGATCCATTTCCTTCTTTCTTCTCTTTTTTCACCTACTCACTAATCCATCAATCTATCTATTGGATGATTGATGGATTGAATCACTTATCTGCCATCCATACAAGCATTCATTTCCCTCCATTTGTTTATTCTCCCCCTCATTTATTTATCTCTCTATTCAGACATTCAAATGCTTGAGCCCTAACATGATTATTTGGCACACAGAGCATATTCAACAAGCATTTGTTGAATTAGTAAATAAAGTCATGCCCAAATCCCTCTATCACTACACTGTGACATGGTAGATGCTCCGTCAATTTTTATCAATCGATTGCAGATATTCTCCAACAAGATGTGAAGACTGATGAAATCTTCATATAATCCTCAGCATTCTGCATGGCTCATGGGACTATCACTATTTTGGGCTTCAGAGAAAAGAGAGAGGAGAGGACAAGGGAGGAGAAGGGAGAAAAGAGAAGAGGAAGGGAGAGATGTGGAGGGGAGGCGAGAGAGGAAGAAAAAGAGGAAAGAGAGAGAAAAGGGAAGGAGGAGGAGGAGGAGGACTTTGGAGGAAGGTTAGATGACACTTCAGAGAAATGGAAGGAAATATAGAGGCAGAGAGCTGAGACAGGAGGAAAGAGAGCTGAAGTCATCAAGGCATTTTTGAGTGAAAGAGAGCCCCATGGTTGCTTCCCTGAACCCCACTTACTGGAATTGCGATAGAGGAACTTCCCATCAGTGCCTGTTTTTTCATATGCTCCGGAGATCTCCTCACAGAAACCTTTCCTGTAAATGAACAGACCAAAAAGAAGGTAACTTCTGGCAGATCCTGTGGTCCTGACACCTCATCTTCCCACAGGGCCCTCAACATTTCCATGTATCTTGTTTATCCTCACATCAGCCCTGGGAGGCTGGCAGGGAGAGTGCTGCCTCTATTTTATCAATGAGGAAATGGAGGGACGGAGAACCAAAGAGACTAAGCCATGGCATCCTCCTGGCAAAGCCAGGACGAAACATCAGCTTCCTCAACCAAATCTGCACGTTGTCCTGATGCACTGTTGGAGTGATAAGCTAATGCACTAATTAATTTATTATTCTGCATCTCTCGTGGCTCCAGTTTCCCCATCTGTGAAATGGGGATAGTGATCATTTCTACCTCGCACGGTGCTGTGAAGATTAAATGAGGTAATACATATCAAGCGTTTAGAGTAAGCACTATATACATACTATCGTTACAGTGATTATTAGTAATTATTACTATTATTAATGTAGTCATCTAATTAACATTTATTGAGCAGCACAATGTGCCAGGCACCACCACCTACTGGGGATTCAAAGCAAGCAAGGCAGGCCCTGTCCCTTCATGGGGCTCACCATGGAGTGGGGCAGGCAGGCCAGAGGTGACACAATCAATGTGATGCCATGTGAGGGAAGTACAAAGTGCTCTGGGAGCACGAAAAAGGGCATGTGACCTGAACATGGAGGATGGAACATGGAACCTGAGTTCTGAAGGATCCTTAGGAATTAGCACAGGGAGGTAGGGAGAGGTGTTTGCAGCAGAAGGAACATCAGTGCAAAGGCCTAAAGGTGTGAGAGGGTAGAGCGCTCCAGGGATGAAAAGAAGGACTCTTTGGGTGGATCACAGAGCACACAGGAGATGATAGGGCAGGGGAGTGAAGAGAACTGGGAGAGGCCTGGAAGGTCATGTAAAAGCGTTTGAACTTTATGCCCAAGAGCGATAGGAAGCTATGGAAGAATCTTAAGCACATTTGAACTTATGAAAGGTCTTTCTGGTTGCTGAGTGAAGAATGAATTGGAAAGAAAGTTTGAAATTAGAGGTGAAGAGAAACAGAGAGAGCCTGCTGCAGACAGCTAGGCAAGAAAGAAAGGTGGCTTGGACCAGGGTGGTGGCAGTGGAGAGGGGCAAAGTGTACAGATTGGAGGACTTTAGGAAGAGATTAGACAAGGTAGATGGTGGATTGAATAGGAGGTGTCAAGGGAAGAGAAGAATCTAGGATCTGCCCCCATCCTGCCTCAGGTTACCAACTTGGGTCTCTGGGGGTCAAGGTGCCCCTACTGAGCTGTGGAATGCCTGAGATTGAGGAACAGATTGGATGGCAAGCATAGTGTCATGAGGTAGAGATGGGACAATTTCAAAATGTGAAGGGCAATAGAGGGATTTGTAGCTCAGGGTGGAGGTCCAGGCTGGAAGCAAGCTCTGTAACTTTCCAGGATGTTGACTGAAGCCCGGGGGAGAACAGGGGGTCCCTGGTCCTTCTTGCCCCTCCGTCTCCACCTCACACTCACCGCCAGCGAGTGCTGGTTGTGCTGATCTCCAGGTCTGTAGCTCCCTTTCCCAGGACCAGCGTGCTCATGGACATTCTACTCTTGAACTTCTTCAGCCATTGGCAGGTGGAGCCAATGGCCACATTGAACCATTTTCCGTAGATCTAGGAAGCAACCATAAGCTTCAGGGACCTGGACTCACCTCACACCAAAGGAGACTTGGCTGAATCCTGCTCCCCTCCCTCCTCTCAATGACCAATGCTTTTAAGTGATAACATCTGGTTAATTGGAGGCCAAACACCTCCAAGAGAGGATGGAGCCCTAAGGGTGGAATTGCAGGCATCCCACAGACCAGGAAGAAGATATGCAGATAGGGGTCCCACACTCCAGGCAGAAGGCCCTACTCTGCTGAGCCAGGGGGTCTGCCTTGTTCACTTGGAAGAGATGCAATCCTCATGCTCTGAGGTCATCAACAACTGCTCCCCAAGATCAGGAAGTCTGTCTATTATTCTTTTAGTAACAGAAGGCTCACCATCTTGCAAGGTAGCCATCACTCCGTGATGGAAAGTCTCTCTTCTCCTTGATCTCCACTATGATTGGGCCAACACAGGCCAAGCCTATAGCCACCTCCTCCTGACATACTTCAAATAGCTGAAGGATCTCTCACTCCTGCTGAATAGGCCAAGGGCCCAGAGCCATTGCCATCTACCACCTTCAGAATGCCCCCTCCTCATGGTCCCTCTGTCCACAACCCTTTCTTGTCCCTAAAAACAAACAAAATCCATCTGACTCCAGGTCACCCAGTGCACCAGACAGAGCTGGCCTGGAACACAGTGCTCAGACCCCACACACTCCATGCCCTACCCCAGGCCACAGCATTCCCCATGCCCAAGCCTTCCCATCAGCCCCTACTCCCCGGTATGAGTCTTTCCTGCTTCTCTTCTTCCCATTATCCCAAATGCCTGGCCCCAAAGCCAATGGGCACATGCCCAGCCTGGGCAAGCCCATATTTCTGTTCACAAGCCAGGCCTGTGAGGGCAGGGATTCAGGACCTGCTAACAAAGAAAAGTTGAGCGGAGACCAGTTGCCATGAAGTTGATTCTGACTCATGGTGAGCCCATGGATATGAGAGTAGAACTACTCCTTAGGGTTTTCAGTGGCTGATTTTTCAAAAGTCGGTTGCCAGACCTTCCTTCTGAGGCTCTTTTGGGTGGACTTGAGAATTTAACCATTTGCACCACCCAGTGTCTCCGCTGAGAGGAGAAGGGTATGGGTAAAGAACGAAGGGCTGGGGAGGGGCAGGCAAGGAGAGTCACAAAAATACAAAAACATAGGCCCCTCAGTGATGGACCACAGGGCAGCCACAGTCAGGCCAGAGCCTTCCCTGGGGTGGAGGGGTTGTGTTCTAATCAAAACATGGGTTCCTCGTGGAGCCCCGAGAGAACAGCCTAGAATGTGAGGATATTTGGCTCATAGAATATCAGACGAGAGAGTCCCACAGAAAGCCAGAGGCATAGAGGTGTCACTTCAAAGAATCCTGGGCCAATAGGTATTGGCCCACTGGTGGTCCAGGTGGGAGACTAAGATACCCAGACAGGCAGGACCTAATCAGGGAGGCCTGACTGCTTTAGACACCCCACTACCACCACCAGCGAGGCCCACATTACCCGAGGGAGGTCAAAGTTCTCCTGCACTTGGATGTCGTCGGGTGGTGTCAGTAGGGGGTTGGCACGCACTGCCAGGCAGGTGGTCAGCAGCAGAAGCAGAGCCCCCCAAATCTGCATGGTTCTGGGCTCCACTGTCACTTGGGCTTGGTCTAAGGACAAAGGTGCTACCACCTTTCTTCACAAGGCAGCTACACACTGAGGCTGGGAAAGGTGCCTGCAGCTTGTAGCGACCTGTGTTTGCTCTGCTCAGGCAGCCAATCAAGGTCCCAAGGCCAGGTCTGATCGATCCCCTGCGGTCCCCTGACTGGGGTCAGTGGTACAGAGGAGCAAGGGTGGTGTTTCAGAAGAGGCATTGGCCAAGCACAGGCCCTGGGCCCAGCCACCAGAATGTCTTCCTGTGGACACCCCACTGTCCGGGGGCCATGTGTGGATGGAGGAGACAGGCAGTGCCTTGCCTTTCCCCGCAGGTCATTTCCCCGGGAGCTCACAGCCCTGGGAGACAGAAGGACAAGCCCGGTTGTCCCCATTTCTCCCAGGAGATAACTGAGGCCCAAGACTTATCAAAGACCACAGGGAAGCCATGGTAGAGCCAAAACTAGAAGCCAGGCCTGCTGTCCATAGAGCTCCTTCTGTGACCCAAGGCTTCTCATAAGCCCTTGCACATAGTAGTAGAAATAATTATGCTGATTATGTTCACAGCTTCCAGTCACTGAACAGCTGCTCTCGGATAACCCTGTAGCAGGCACTTTACACGTGCCGCAGAATTGAACTTAAGCCTCACAAAATCCCAGTGAAGTAGGTGCTGTTCTCCCCTGTATAGATAGGGGATTGGAGTCTCCAACAGGAGAAGTGACTTGTGCAGGGATCCCCCGACGGGACGTGGAGTTGCTGGCCCAGGCAGCATTTAGAAGCGGTCGGGAGCATGGACTGGGGAGCGAACTTGATTGGCTGCTGCTCACGAGCCGTGTGCCTCGCTTTCCTTCTCTGTAAACGAGGATAATCATAGCTCCTCATTCACAGCGTTCTTGTGAGGACTGAAGGGGGTGAATCTGTCAGCACTAGAACAGTACTTGTCATACAGTAAGGGCTGTATGTGTCAGGGGCTGACTGTTGTTGTTGCTAGGTTCCACTGAGTCAGCTCCAACTTACAGTGAGCCCGTGTGTCACAGAACAAAGCACTGCCTGGTCCTGAGCTGTCCTCAGAATCGTTGCTGTGTTTGAGCTCATCGTTGCAGCCATTGTGTCAATCCATTTTGCTGAGGGTCTTCCTCTGTTTTGCTGATCCTCTACTTCTCTAGGGAGGAGCTATGGTGGCATAGTGCCTAAGGCACTTGACTGCTAACCAGAAGTCTGGGGGTTCAAACCCACCAGCCACTCCTCTGAAGGGAGGCTGGACAATCTACTTCCACAGAGATATCACCTCAGAAACCCAAGGAGGGGTCACTATGAGTCGGATCCAAGTCGATGGTAGTGAGTTTGGTTTGGTTTTGGTGCGGCTTTACTAAGCATGATGTCCTCCTCCAGGGATCGGTCCCTCCTGATAACACGTCCAAAGTAAGTGGGACAAAGTCTCACCATCCATGCTTCTAAGGAGCATTCTGGCTGTACCTCCTCCAAGACAGATCTGTTCTTTCTTCTGGTAGTTCCTGGTATATTCTATACTCACCTACACAGTTCAAATGCATCAATGCTTCCTTGGTCTTCCTTTTTCATGATCCAGCTTTTACATGCATTATGTGGGGACCGAAAATGCCAGGAATTGGGTCGGGCGCACCTTAGTCATCAAAGTTGCATCTTGAGGTGGACTTACTCAGCGTGAAATGTCACTTGACCTCTTGACTGCTGCTTCTCTGGGCATTGAGTGTGGATCCGAGATGAATGAAATGCTCAACAACTTCCAACGGCCTAAATAGGGTCCCCAAATCCATATCCACCTGGAATCTGGGAATGGGACCTTATTTGGAAGTAGTCCCTGCAGCTGCAATTAAGATGAGGTCATACTGGATTAGTTGGTGTTAGGTCTAGCGAGTCAATTTCAACTCATAGTGACCCCATGTGACAGAATGGAACTAACTCACAGAGTTTTCTAGGCTGTAATCTTTATAGGAGATTACTAGGTCTTTCTCCGATTGGGCGATCTACTTCCGTAGTGATACCACCTCGGAAACCCAAGGAGGGATCGCTATGAGTTGGGTCCGACTCAACGGCAGTGAGTTTGGGTTTGGTTTTTTGCTTCCTCCTGTGGAGCTGCTGAGTAGGTTCGAACCACCAACCTTTTGGTAAGCAGGTAAGTGCTTAACTATTGCACCACCAGGGCTCCCTTACTTAGTTGTTGTTGTTATGTGCCGTTGAGTCAGCCCTGACTCATAGCGATCCCTCCTTCGGTTTCCGAGGCAGTGTCACTACAGAAATAGATTGCCCAACCTTCCTTCCAAGAAGTGGCTGGTGGGTTTGGACCCCCAGCCTTCTGGTTAGCAGGCAAGTGCCTTAGGCACTATGCTACCAGAGCTCCTTCCCTCCTAAATGCAATGCATGGTGTCCTTATAAGGTTAAGGAGCAGGAGGTTCAGATACAGAGACACAGAGAGATGCACGAAGAAGGCCATGTGAGGATGAAGGCAGAGGTCACAGTGGTGCAGCTACAGGCCCAGAAGCACCAAGGATTGCCAGCAGCGCCCAGAAGCCAGGGCAGCCCAGACCCACCCAGGGATCCATGGGAAACAGGCCTGGAGCCCTGCTGCGGCAGAGAGTACAGCATAGAAAACGCAGCTCCGCACTACCACATGGCGTCGCTAGGAGCGGAAAGTCCAGTTAAGGCACCCAGCAGCAACAAAGCACGGCAAGGTGCCAGCTCTCCCACAGCACGTCTGCAGGATTAGGGTTATCTATCCATTTTCCAGGGAGCTCTGGTAGCATAGTGGCTAAGACACTTGCCTGCTAACCAGACGGCTGGCGGTTCAAACCCACCAGCCACTCCTCGGAAGGAAGGTTGGGCAATCCTACTTCCGTAGTGATACTGCCTCGGAAACCCAAGGAGGGGTCGCTATGAGTCGGGTTTGACTCGACGGCACATAACAACAACAACATCCATTTTCCAGGTGCGAAGCCTGACGCACACAGGGCTGAAGCAGCTCCAGGCCTGGGGGTGGGGAGAGGCCTAGAGGAGCCCCAGCCACCCACCCCACCCACGCTGATCTCTTCTGTCCTCCAGGGATGTTTGCGGCTCCTGAGATTATTAACCAGAGCAAACAGAGAGAGAGCAAACTCTGCCAAAGACCACCTGGACTTTGAGCTGTTCTTTAAAAATTAATCCTGGGCCACAAAGACACAAGATCGGCAGTGGCCAGGGCGTTGCTGACCTCCGTGGTGCAGGGGTGGAAGGATGGAGGCTGTAGGGCTCTGGGGCTCCAGCTTTCTCCCCTTCAAAGGGGCCTGGGAGCTCACGATCCCACAGAAGTTGGCCAGGTTCTAGAACCATCTCCCTGGAGCGGAGGGCCTGCAGGAGACCTTGGAACCTCAGCGGTGCCTGGCTTGGGAGGGGCTCAAGGCCCTGTTTTTCAGATGAACACACTGAAGCTTAGGGAAGGCAGCGGATTTCTTCAAGGTCACCCAGCTTGCGGCAGAGTTAGGGCTCAGATAGGCCTGACTGCAGCCCCAGATTTTCTCCCACCACTTGCAGTCAGGCGTTGCTTAACGTCCATGATACGTTCTGTGAAATAAGATGTTATGTGATTTGGACATTGTGCAAACAGGCCTAATTTCAAGCAGTCCATTTTCCACCTTCGTGTTGTTTAATAACCTTCTGATTCACTTCCAAATCCACACTTCTTGGCCTCTCGCTGCTGCTATCACCAGCACTGGTTTTGCTGCATTTGGGAGCCATGGTGAACTTCACAGTAATATTTCCAAAAGAAAATTAGACAAAGAGATAATGCTACAACCCTCAAGAGATGTGCAATACATGAGACTGGGCACTGCTGCTTCCAAATAGAAACAAACACACAGTAAACTTTTTATTTGTAACTAGGGAAAGTTCACATTAAAATAACAATAGAAAGTACAATACGGTACATACCTAGGCCAGTAACATAGGCGTTTATTATGACTATAAAGGCTTATGTATTATAGGTTATAAGTGTACTGTACCATTATACCCTGGGCATTGAAATCTCTTTGTATGCAAGAGACGTGAGATACACATGTTGCATGGAAGAGGCTGCTGCTTTTGCTACTTCTGGTTACATCTACTACGTCCCTCTCTCTGACTGGGATCTCTGAATTCTAGCATCACCTTAGGGGACCATGGACGTAGATGCGGTCGGACATTTCCCCAATGGATGATATGCAATGCATGACATGTTTGTCAAATATGCATTCTATACTTGATGCTGGGGATGTGACGGAGAACATGACAGACCTCCTGGAGCTCACATGGTCCAGGAGAGCAGATGAATGAGGAGGAGATGATAAGACAGGGTGGTGATTCCAGTGATGGGGAAGCAGACGCTGGGGGAGTTGGGGGTTAGTCAGACTACACGGTGGGGGCGGGGAGGTGTTCCCCGGCAGAAGGAACAGCAAATGCAAAGGCTCAGAGGTGGAGGATGGAGAGTTTGAGAGACAGAGACACAGAGATGCATTTGGGATGGAAAAGACTCAGCAGGGCTGGAGCTTGGGGGCACAAAGGAGAGGCAAGAGAGCGGCTGGAGGGGTGGCTGGAGTCCAGCAGGTAGGGCCGTGCCTGTCAGGCCAAAGGCAATGGAGCGCTGGCAGGCGGAAGGAAGTGTGTGACCAGAGGACATCAATCTGGACGCAGTGGCAGCTGAAGTCCCGGGAAAGCAACTCCTAGGAGGTTTTCCAGGAAGAAAGACAGAAGGTCAAGGAGAGGGCACCAGACCCTGGGACCAGGATGGCAGGGACATCAAGAACACTGGGCAGAACTCAGACCCCAGGGTCTGGTCAAGACTGGGGTCTTCCTCTGTTAATGGGGGAAGGAATGGCAGAGTGAGTGGTGTCTTTCCCCACCGGGAGTTATCCCTCTGATAACTGAGGGCTGCACTCAAAATGCCTTTCCCTGTCCAGTTCTCTCAGACTTGGAGCCACAGCCTAGCTTTTCAGGGG